ATTGTTGTTTGGCGGGTCCGGGCTGGGGATTCGAACCCACCACCTTAGGTGTACGTGGCTGGCGCCTTAGCCGGTTGAGCTATAGGCACCGAGCCGCCCAGCTATTTTTTTATTGCTGTTGTCATGGTTGTTTAGCAGGCTGGGGCCACGTTCAAACCACTGGCCTCAGTGTATGTGGCTGGCACCCTAACCACTGAGCCACTGGCGCTGAGCCATACAAGCCTTTTATTAGCCTTTTAGGGCCTTCCTGCCTGCCTTGCATACTCCACAGAACTGCACCCAGCATTTACTGGAAGTGATAAGATGGAGTCTTGAGGTTGTAAGATTTCAAGCTGCTCTGGGACCTAGAGACTCCCTATCCCACTGCCTGGAGATACCACCTAGAATTCATGAGTGTCCAACCTTTTTGATTTTCCCTCTGCCTCAAATTGGAAGAATAAAAGCTGTCTTGGGCCACACATTAAATATACAAACACTAATAGCTGATAGCTGATGAGCAAAACATACTTTTTGAGATAAGCATAACAGTCTTCAAAAAAATCAGCATGTGAGGCAGTGCCAGCCCCATATACCGGAGTTGGTGGGTTCAAACCCGGCCCTGGCCAAAAAAGCTGCAAAAAAAAAAAGTCAGCATGTGGCAGGTTAGACACGCGTGAAAAAGCAGCACTTGCCCCACCCCCCAACCCCTCTGTTTCCTAGGACTTCTCTGCTCTTGCTGGGGCAAGAGGTGAGGCCTCCCTGTAAATGGAGGGGAGGATCAGTGTGGCGCGCAGCTGCTTCTCAGACCTCTTTCATGCCCGAATCTGAGAAGACACACATTTTGTATCATACCCCAATGTGTTTGTGTGTTACACGTGTATATAAAGACTTACACGCCGGGTGTGGAGGCTCACACCTGTAATCCCAGCACTTTGGGAGGCCGAGGTGGGTGAATTGCTTGAGCTCAGAAGTTCAAGACCAGCCTAAGCAAGAGCCAGATCCTGTCTCAACTAAAAAAAAAAAAAAAAGCCAGGCTTGGTGACAGGCACCTGTAGTCCCAGGTACTTGGGAGACTGAGGCAGAAGGTTCACTTGAGCCCAAGAGACTGAGGTTGCTATGAGCTGTGACATAACAGTACTCTACAGAGGTCGAGACTCTGTCTCTATAAATAAATACATAAATACCCATAAAGATTCACAAAACAATACTTATCTTCAGTTTGCCATGTGTATTTATTTTTTGCATCATTTACTTTTGTTCTTGTTTTCTGAGACAGAGACAGAGTCTCCCTCACAGGCTGGAGTGCAGTGGCTATTTGCAGGTGCAGACACAGCTAGCTCACTACAGCCTCAAACTCCAGGGCTCAAGGAATCCTCCTGCCTGAGCCTCTCAAGTAGCTGGGACAACATGTGCCACCATCCTTTTTTTTTTTTTTTTAATGCTAGTCATGAACTTTAAATTGATTTCACGATTCACTAACAGGTGACAGCCTAAAGTTTGAAACACACGGCTCGGCGCCTGTGGTTCAAGTGGTTAGGGCGCCAGCCACATACACCTAAGGTGGCGGGTTCGAATCCCCAGCCCGGACCCGCCAAACAACAATGATGGCTGCAACCAAAAAATGGCCAGGCA